AATTCCAGAGAGACCAGTCACTATCAGTCAGGCTGCTGGAATCATGTAGGCAATGGCCTGGACTAAGGTATGGCAGGAGAGGTAGAGAGTAGAAAGGTATGAAAGAAATTTAGGGGGTTGATGAACAGGGCTTGGTGAATGAGGGATGATTCAAAGACGATTCACAGGTCTGAGCGTGACAACTGCTGATACAGGGATATTCAGTGAGAATGGAAACCCAGGACCCAGGAGGACTGATACTGGGATATTCAGTGAAAATGGAAACCCAGGACCCAGGAGGAATCAACTTTTTGTCTGTGTATGTAATGGAGGAGGGGGCCTAGAAGGGTGAAGTGGAGAACAAGGTCAATTCTGGATAGAAAGAATTTAGGACTACAGACATCCCAGTAGATGTTTCCAGGAGGCATTTGGGCGTATAATTTTAGAGCCAAGAGTTAGGTTTATAGCAAAATATGTATCAAAAAATGACAAACATACAGATCAACATTTCTCAACCTTTTTAAAAATCCATGTCTATTTGGTCAAAAATGGACTTCCCTCCATACCCAAAATGGGAACCACTAATGTAGACGGTAAAAAAGACATGAGAATAAATGATTTTTTTTTCAGGGAAAAGGGTAGAAGAACACCAATACCTAAGGGACAGGAGCCTTTGAAAGAAAAGGAGAGGTGAGAGGGGCGACCACAGAACCAGGTGAGTATGTCACAGAAGCCTCGTCTGGACTGGGAAGCATTTCTCACAAAGAGAAAACACAAACATGCTAACTATATGGAGTTTTGGGGTGTTATGGATTGAACTGTGTCCCCCCAAAATATGTGTTGCGAATCCTAACTTCTATACCTGTGCTTATAGTCCCATTTGGAAATGGGTTGTCTTTACTAACGAGGCAGGATTAGTGTAGGGTATGTGTTGAGTCGATCTCTTTTGAGACATAAAAGAGATTCAACAAGCAAGCGAGGATGCAAAGATAGAGGGAGAGAGATGGCATTTCATATGAAGATCGCCCAGGAGCAGAAGCTGAGAAGAGACCAGGACCTTCCTCCAGAGCCGACACAGAAAGCCTTCCCCTAGAGCAGGCACCCTGAATTCAGATTTCTAGCATCCTAAACTGTGAGAAAATAAATTTCTGGTTGTTAAAGCCACCCATTTGTGGTATTTCTGTTACAGCAGCACTAGATAACTAAGATATGGGGTTACATTTTTTCACTGAAATAACTTAAAACCAGATGAGCTCTTATCTGGGGAATACCCGCTTTAGGCTAAGAATCATTTTTGAGAAAAAAAAAGTGAGTTGATTTGTCCCCTTTACTGACTTCTCACCCCATATTCCAAACAGAGGAAAAGCAATCTGGAAATGTTAAGGGGACAAGATAAGCCGCCTCTAAACCCCTGGTAAAGCCTTAGAAACTGCCTAAAAGAATGGTGTCACTCTTCGTTTCTCCTGCTGCTGTTGGGGATAATCCGCACTTGTAAGGACAGGCTGGTGAGTGAACTGCAGGTCAAGCAAGAGGTGTGAGGTAGGTACAAAAGGCTAGTGAAGTTTTCTTAAAAAGGAAGTAAGAAAGTAAACGGATGGTAACTCTGTTCCTGGAAAGTGAGATCTAATTCCAGGGCAGCTCCACGCTGCAGGTTTGGCTGACAGAGTAATTCTGCTGATTCAGTGTATTCCAAGCCTCCCGGTTCTTTCTTACCCCAGAAAAGACTTTGGATCAACTTTTCCTAGCTTTGGTGGTGTTGGAACAGTCCTAGCCAGGTCCAAGATGGTTTTTTTAAAATCCTGGTTTAAACCTGAATACAAATACAGAAACTGTAAAGCGTAAGAATCAACACTGGTTCAAACGTGCTTGGTGGTTCAGTCCTCATCTAAACTCCTGGCATCTCCCAACTAAAGCAAGAACGTTTTTTTTTTTTTTTAAACACTTTCTGGTCCAGGGACCAATTGCTGGAGAAGGACATTATGCTTAGTAAAGCAGAGGGTCAGCGAAGAAGAGGGACACCCGCAATGACACGGACCGACGCAGTGGCTCCAGCGAGCTCCAACGCAGCACCTGCGAGGACAGTGCAGGCCCAGGCGACCTTTCATTCTCTCACGAGGTCGCTATGAGTCGGAGTCAGCTGGACGGCATCTGACAAGTGCAGAGAATACTAATTCTGTCTATCAAAGCTATAGAAGAAGCTTTGCTAAGAAAAATACATGGGCATTCATAGGGCTGCCTTTTCATGGAATTACTGACACACACTAGCTATGTCTTTCTGCATTTTATGATCATACTCTGTAAGAGAAAATACTGTGGTATACACTTTCATTGGTTGTACTTAATTTTTACTAAAATTTGATTGTAGGAGATAATGTTTAGTCAATAATCTGACACAAAAAATTATAAAAGACAACAATATTTAAATAATATCTTATTTTAAACACATCTGTGAAAACAGACTCAGTGTCTGGGCATGTGATACACAGTACGTATTTTCACTATTACACTCAGTGCTGTTGCTGAACCCGACCATATTACACATGAGAAGCAGACTGTGATCAGGGATAAACGTCTTCATTCTACACTTCTGTTACAGGATTAAAAAGGGAAATATACTGTGTCACAAAGTTTTATGACAATATTTACAGTCAGAAAAATTAAGGGAGAAAGAATAACACAGGAGGAAATATCTACCAAGGATGTTCAGCCATACTTTTTCCATCTGAAATAATCCAGAAAATACAAGTCTGTATTGAAAGGTTAGGAGGAGTGTATCCAAATGGATCACTCCAAGTGAGTCAGCTGCTTGTGACTCTAATGAAAACTTTTTTCTGTAAATCAACAATGGCAACTGATATTACCATCTCATTCTTAAACAGGAAAAAAGATAACTGAGTTCATTTTATTTAGTAATGCCTGAGGAAATACTAACTTAAATCTTGTTTTTTCTTCAGACTCCTTGACTAACTTAACTAAGTAAACATTTAAACATGATTCTGTCATCAGCAATTAATAGCTAATAATTATTATTTGTATTAGCTATCTATTAATGTTATCATCAGCTTGCCAAATATAAAAATATTCTAAGGTTGAAAAAATTCCTATTTCAAAGGCCAGAAATACAACTTTGAATCCACACAGCCATTCTGAAGGGTAGGACATCACATGTACCAAGTATGTTTAGGGCATTAAGGATTTAATTTCTCAGTAGTTCTTAAGACTTCAGTGCAGACATTAATGATTCCCAGAGTGGATACAGATACTTAAGTACAAATTCTCACACCTCAGGAGTCATGTAAATAATTTATGCCAACTACCTCTAACATTACTGCCAAAAGATTAATTTTAAAAAAAGGCATCTGATAATAGTACTTGATTCCTAACTTTTAACCCTTATTCTGACCACACTCACTTTACAAAAAGCCATTCGCTTTACCCCTAGTGCAAATCGATTATAACCCTCTATCACCTCAATAAACTACCTGCCCTAGGACTTGCAGAGTCAAGTACAGAAACCTAAGAAGGCAGGAGAGACCTGAAAAGGCAGAGACCATGGGCAGCCTCTTCTGCGTCCTGCAACAAATAAGCCAGCGCAGACAGCAGCTATCCGACCCAGGTCAGTACGAGAGCCAGTACACTTAGGAAACACGTGCTGGGGGCTCTTGCTGGAGATCAACACTGTTCTGATTAAAATGCTGTAGCACGACAAGAGTTTAACAGCAACAGAAGTGTTCAACAATACTTATTTATCTAACAGCTTTCATCAAGAATCTTAAAATCGCCTAATACTAACTCAAAACCGAGAGGTAGGTACTAAGGTAAACAACCGCCAAGCCCCAGCACAGAAACTAGGAGTGTGTGCTGTCAACGCCCCTGGTGAGCTGAAGACTGCCTGCTGTCTTACGAAGTTCAGAGGGTACAAAATGCAGTGTTCACATACCCATTCAGCAAACCCAACCTCAGGTACAAGAACTCACGTTAACAGGGTATCTTTTTTGTAATGTATCTCATTTGTAGTTGAACTTAATTTTTACTTAAGTTTGATTTATTCAAACTTGATTTTAAAAGATATTGTTTAGTCAGTGATCTGACCCAGAGAAAATTATCAGAAGGATATTTTAAATATGTTAAATGTCATATTAAAAGTCTATAGTATCGCATATATCAATTCTTTGAGTTATTTTTCCATTTGAGGTCAAGGGTTTGTTATACGTATGATCTTCCCTGTGACCAAGAGCTGAATCTGTGAGATGGATACAGAGGGAGCGTGCCATCTGTCGGCATGAAACCACTCCTTTGTGTGTGTGTAACATTAACGACCTATAAAAGCAATGAACTCCTGCCCTTAGCCTCATTAGCACCATATTCCAACCAAGTTAACTGGTTCAAACTGTCAGACAGATCAGACAGTGATAACTAAAGGAACAGCACAAAGAAAGGTTATATGTCATCTTCTCAAGGTCTTGGGAGCCTAGTGGTGCAGTGGTTAAGCCCTGCGCTGCTAACCGAAAGGTCAGCGGTTTGAACCCACCAGCCTCTTTGGGGGAGAAAGATGTGGTAGTCTGCTTCCATAAATATTACAGCCTTGCAGCCCTATCGGACAGTTCTACTCTGCCCTATAGGGTTGCTATGAGCTGGACTCGACAGCAAAGGGTTTGGTTTTTTTTTTTTGGTTTAAGGTCTTGTAGAGATGACATAGGTTTATGATTCAAATTCCCACCTCCTGAAAAACTACCTCTTCAATAACTCACCTCTCAAATCACAGAGGTGCAGTAACCTGAAATGATTCCAATCTAAGACCAATTCATAACTAATTACAACAACTGATTTTCATGGGGGGAATACACACCAAACCCAAACCAAACTTACTGTGGTTGAGTCAATGCCAACTCATAGCAACCCTACAGGACAGAGCAGAACTGCCCAACAGGGTTTCAAAGGAGCGACTGGTGGATTCAAACTGCCAGCCTTTTGGTTAACAGCTAAGCTCTTACCCACTGTGCCACCCGGGCTCTGTGGGGAATACACAGCTATGCAAAACGCAGCTACATAAAAATAGAACTCACTGAAAGGCAATATTTTTAACATTTTTAAAGCAAGAAAGATGCTTGTTTGGAATTCACATCAGCAGTCACTGGTTGGGTAAATGCTAAAGATTTACGTTCAATTGCTTGGAGAATTACTGCAGAGAAATTCAATAAAAATCTCTGCAATAAAGATGATGCCTTTTCCCACCTAAAAACCTTTATAAGCCCTAGCAATCCTTTATTCAGGGAGACAAAGGTTAACATTGCATTGTCCCTTTGTCTCTGCTCGCGAGTTACTTCTCTCAATAAAGCTTTGTTTGTGCAGAAAAAATAAATAAAAATCTTTGCTCAGATGCCTTTCGGGCTTATTAAACATGAGATGATATACAAACCACCCAGTAGTGGTATTAAACCCCAATCACTTTCAAGACAGGTTAAGATATACAGCTGTTAAGACATTCTAGAATTTGGTTCTTTGACACTAAATACTCTATTACAAAAAAAAAAAAAAAGAAAAAAGACTTCAGACAGTCTACTGGCATTTCCTATCAACCACTGGAGGAGGTAGTAATGCAAAGTGTTTGAATTAAAATACATGGTCAGCACAAGCATAAACATTTCTAAAGCATTATATGTAACTCTAAAACATATGTAGTGAAAAAGAAGGAATTAGAATTCATATAAAATCATTAGAATTAAAAAAAAGCAAAAAATAGAAATATTTAGTGTATTTACTCAAATGGAAGAAGCTTAAATGATACAGAACTAAAAATACTAGAAATTTATATACAATAAAAAGTGAACATAAATTAGCCAACTCCATGGACACTTCCAGTTAAACATTCATACATATAGTCACCTTTTTTCCTTTTATATAGTTATAACACATACATACATGACACGATTCTGACCAAGAAAAAAAACAATCAGAAATACTAAAAATATTCTCAAGTTTTAAAAATGGTATGGAATAGGTTTCAACAACATTCTACATGAAGGTAAATCTGTCATTTAATTCCATGATTTTATTATGTCAGAAGTACGGTTGGTTTTAATTTTTTTAACAGATCTTGGTATCTTAACATATTGGCTTATTAATATTTAAGGCATTTTACATACATAGTATCTCAGTGTGAACAAAAAAAATTAATATCATTTGCTATGATGTTTTAAACTTTCAAAGTCTTTTCAACATAAGAAAATAGCTGCATACATTTAAGTGTTTTCTTATAAAATACAATCTTAAAAAATTCATGATGATTGGTCTTTGTGGTTCCTACTAGTAAGTCCTGTCTTATTTTTTCACACAGTATAAATTATATTCTTATGCAGGAGTGCATTAAGATCCAGTAGTTCTTAAACAATATTCTGAAACAACCATGTAACTCCCAAATGCGGTGAAGGCCCACCAGTCTTCATAGTATACTTTCACCTCACTGAAGCTGAAGCTGCTCCTTTCGGATATTTTTCCACTTCAATGTGAAGTAGATTGTTAGGATTTCATTAGTGGTTTCATTATGTGGCTTTTTAAAAGAAAAAATGGTTTTGATTTCTTCCACAGTTGAGAGTTCTCAGAAGAGACATTTTTCTGGAAGTCATGGTCCAGGGATGTTTGGAATACCCAAGCACTCTTTAGCAGATGATATCTCTCAATGCAACTGTAATAAATAAGCATCTACATCCTTAGAGAATAAAACAAAAACATCTCATCAGCCAATACAGCAAACACACACATACACAACCCATCTCTCTCTTTCCCTTTTTGCCACTTGATATGCCTTGGTTTCCCTGAGAAACCTTTTTGAGGGTAAAAGATGTGTCTTATTCAACTTTTTATTCTCATTTGTTTAGCACAGGGCCTGGCACATAGTAGGTGCTCAATAAATGGTTGCTGAGCGAATGTTTTGGTTCCTGTGCTTATTTAACTAACTCTGCTTTCAGAGCTAAGCAACATTAAATCAGCCACAGCAATTCCTTCAGTGCTATATAAACTCTAGGCCAGCTGACAAGAATCTCTCTTGATTTCTACCCTCAAAAAACCACAAATTAGTTGAGTTTATTTTTATAATAGAGGTTTTATCATAGCTTAAGGAAGTACAGAGAACTTACAATCACTCAGTATTATCTTCAGTAATAAATATAGTGGAAAACAAAAATGATTCAATGTAAGAAAATCGGTCAATATAATACACTACATTAATAGAATGAAGGAAAAGAATCAACAATCATCAATCAATGCAGAAAAGGCATTTGACAAAATCCAGCAACCTTCCATAATAAAAACACTCGCCAAACCAGGAATAGAAGGGAAATTCCTCAACATGAGAAAGGGCACTTATGAAAAATCTACAGCAAACATCACACTCGGTGGTGAAGGACTGCAAGCTTTTCCCCTAAGATCAGGAACCAGACAAAGACGCCTGCTTCCACCACTGCTGTTCAGCACTGAAATGCAAGTCTCGGCTGGAGCAACTAGATAAGAAAAAGAAATGAGACACCCAAATTGGAAAAGAAGAAGGAAAACTATCTCTATTCACAGACGATACACAGAAAATCCTCAAAAATCCACAAGAAAGCTACTGGAGTTAATAAATTCAGCAAAGTTGCAGGATACAAGAGCAATACGTAGAAATTGGCTGTGCTTTTACACATCAGCAATGAACAATCTGAAAGGAAATTAAGAAAACCACTCCTTTTACAATCGCATCCAAGAAAATAAAATATGTTCCTAGGAATAAATTTAATCAAGAAGCTGAAAGACCTTTACGTGGAAAACTATAAAACACTGCTGAAAGAAATTAAAGGAGATCTAAATAAATGGAACGATATCCCATGTTCATGAATGGGAAGACTTAATATTGTTAAGATGTTGATGCTACCCAAAGCAATCTACAGATACAATGCAATCTGTATTAAAATCCCAACAGCCTGTTTTGCAGAAATGGAAAAATCGATTCTCAAATTCATATGAAATTGCAAGGGGCCCCAAGTAGCCACAACGATCTTGAAAAAAAGAACAAAGCAGAAACTCACACCTCCCGACTTTAAGACGTACTGCAAAGCTAAATAACCAAAGTAATGTGGTACTGATAGAAGGTTGGATATACAGACCAACAGAATAGAACTGAGAATTCAGAAATAAACCCTTAGGTCTATGGCCACGTGATTTTTGATAACCTGTAACCCACCGCCGTCGAGTTGATTCTGACTCATAGCGACCCTACAGGACAGAGTAGAACTTCCCCACAGGGTTTTCAAGGTTGTAATCTTTACAAAAGCAGACTGCCTCACCTTTCTTCCATAGAGTGGTTGGTGGGTTCGGCCGAGCACTTAACCACTGTATCACCAGAGATCAATGGCCTAATAAGAGCTAAAACCATAAAACTTTCAGAAGAAAACCAAACGGGAAAGCTTCAAGACATTCTTTTAGGCGATGGATTTTTAGACATGACACCAAAAGCACAAGCAACAAGAGAAAAAATAGATAAACTAGACTTTATCAGAATTAAAAACTTTTGTGCATCAAGGGACAGTATCAAGGAAATGAAGCGACAACCTATAGAATAGGAGGAACTATCTGGAAACCATGTACCAGATAAGAGTTTAATATCCAGAATTCATGAAGAACTCTTAACAATTCAGCAACAAAAAGCCTAACAACCCAATAAAAAATGGGCAAGACATGAATAGACATTTCTCCAAAGAAGATATACAGATGGCCAAGAAGTACATGAAAAGATGCTCAACATCGTTAGTCATCAGGGAAATGCAGATCAAAATCACAATGAGATACCACTTCACATCCATGACGATGGCTATCATTAAAAAAAAAAAGGAAAACAACAAGTGTTGTTAAGGATGTGGACAAATCAGAACACTTGTACACTGCTAGTAGGAATGTAAAATGGTGCAGCTGCTGTGGAAAGCAGTTGGGTCGTTTCTAAAACAGTTAAACACTGAAATACCATTATGATCCAGGATTTCCACTCCTACGTACGTATATACCCAAAAGAATGAGAAGTAGTGACTCAGAAAGACACATGTATGCCAATGTTCACTGCAGCATTATTCACAATAACTAAAAGTGACCATCAACAGATGAATGGATAAACAAATTGTGATATATACACACAACAGAATATTATATAGCTATGAAGAAAAATGATGTTCTGATACACACGACCACACAAATGAACTCTGAAAACATTAGCTAAGTAAAATAAGCTAGATAACTAAAGGACAAATATTACACATTCCCACTTATATGAAATATCTGGAATATGTAAATCCATCAAGACAGAAGACTGGTGGATTTCAGATGGGGGAGATAGGGGAACTGGAAAAGAAAATCACAGGTGTGCACTTAACACTGGTAAATTGCATTTTATGTAAATTATTCCTTAATAAAGATTTTTAAAAAATACAATCTTAAGGTTGTGTTCCCAGTAAAGCTTCTCCCTCTGTAAAAATTTATAGTTGAAAGCAAATTTCTAAGGAAATAAATTTTCATTTCTATTACCCAGAATGCAAAATCTATCCAGAGCAAGATGATTCACTATGCATGCTCTCAAAGTATTTCATTTTCTATTAAATTCTACTTTATTGTCTTAATTACCAAACGGGGGGAAAAAGAAAACAAAAACTGAAAACAACAAAAAACTTCCAGGAAATTGATTTATAAGATTTTCAACATTAAGAATTCTACAGAGTAAAATTAAACACAGTATTAACACACTTGCTTGATACATTATTTTGCTTCTTTTCTTGAGGGTATCCAAGAAGAATTTTACAAGTCTTAAGTCCATGACATAAATCCTATTTAAATATTATCATTATTTTTTTAAACCAAGGAATGCTTTCATATTTCTGGCTACTGCTCTTTTATGATAGGGGTATGCCCGGTGATATGGTAGATGTATTTCTTAGCAATGATTTTTGTCTGCAATTACATTTTAACTACCAATGTTTCCTGGAGTATAAATATTAAAATCCAAAAGAGTAATATACCTTCTTCTTTAAGACAGAAGCAAATCAATAATAAAAAACCAATGTTCAATTCACACTGTGATCTGAACAATTTACCTTCTCAAAAAGCAATGGCATTAGCAAAAGCAAAATCACAACCAATACTCCAAATCATTTAACTGTGTTCCTCATTTCTTGTTTCCTGAGTGTCACTGTCTTTTCTGATACCTTCCTTACCTGGACTCAACTTTTTTAAAAAATATTTTTCTCTAATTGGAACTAGGTCATTAAATACTCTCTAGCACAGCATTTCTGGGGCTATAACTTAAAGACATTCAGTGATTAATTCCTATGTTCCCTGCCAACGTCACACTCATACCCAGAGGATGTTAAGCATTTGCAAATATGAAACTGACTTTAGCTCTCATTTATTAAGTTAGAATACTACTGAATTATTTTGTCTAAAGATTTAAGAGTTCACTTACTATACATGTATAATACTAACATGTTATTTCTAAATTTTAATGTCTAATTTTTAAGCTTAGCTATAGATTACCTTAGCTATATTACCAGTGTACCCTGGCACCAAAGTAAGATGGTTCTCTTGTTCCCACAATCCATTTAACTGTTGTTTTAAAATACGAATATTTCTAGGAGAAAAAAAAAAGAAAATGAGAATGCAAATACATTAGGGTATGGACTTTGGTAGTAAATACACTTAATAAAAACCGTTTTCAAATTTTCAAGGATTTATCAGAGGAAAATACACTATTTAAACTCAAGCAACTGGTTCTGAGAGTACATGTCAGTCACAGAGACTTGAAGGTCGCTTAGTGGTCAAAGTCTGTGAGAAAACGAGGTGTTTACTTACACACCTGCTCCTGAGCACGAAGTGGAGGCTTCTGAAAGCCCTGAAGGGAAATCACGGTCTTTAAGGAAAATGCTGGTAGATGTTTTTTGTGTGTGTGTGTGGCTTCATGCTAATCTGGCTCATCTGGTAGAGTACCTACACATACCCACACAGGCAATACTCAAATTATAATAGTTTTTAGACTGTAATCATCAACACTGGACTCTCAGTTAATGCCAAGGTGGCGCAAGGACGCCCCCATTCCTGTGCCTCAAAACCTATGCCACTGGGGGCCATCTCTTCTCCTCTCCTTAGTGACTGTAACGGGTCTGAGGGTTAGACCACTGCCATGCTCTTTCCTTCTAAAAGGAGGGGCAGCTTCTGCAGGAGAGATACAGGGAGGGGGTCACTGGGCTCCCATGTGTAATTCTCACAGATGAACAGTATCTCAATTTAACATTTCTCTGAAAATGAAGAAAATAAATATTTATACACTCATAATTAATCATCATCTACTTTAATCAAACTGTTTCTGAAGTTCTGGTAGCATGAATTTATTTTTAAAGGGACACTCACCCATCGTTCACCATTTCTGTTTTGGATGAGAGTTCTGACCACCACCTTTTGATGACTGCTTGAAGCCAGTTTAAACCAACTACTACATATCTGAAATGACATTTTGTTACAAAATTTGCGTGTTTTTATCCAAGGAACTGTTTAAAAGAGGACTTCCCCTATAAAACACACACAGACACACACACTCCACACGCACAGACAGACAGACAGACAGACAGACAGACAGACACACACACACACACACACACTGATCTTTTTTTCAAAATTTATTTCACTCACTACTTCCATGATCTATTTCACAAAACTGCATTATGCAACTTATTTAGAGATGCTTTTGTAATTAATTCTTTAGTCCTTTTATACTGTTTGTTTTCCTAATTAGACTAATTAGTTCCTTGAAAAAAGAAACCACGTATGTCTAATGGAGCCCAATCTAACAGCATGTACTTTTGAGACACAAAATCAAGGACACTGAAAGAGAAAAATGAACGGAGACTCAGATTAGCACGTACTCTTCAAATCGGCTTTTAAGCAGTGACTTTACTAGAGGCAATAAATCCACACAGCAGCCAAGTGAGATGTATTGTTTTTCTTCCTGTAAACTAAAACAAAGAAATACTAAGTTATAAAAATATGAACAGGCTGTAATTTGTCCTTCTTACACTTTTTTTTCCTGAGAATTTTTTTTTTACCTATTTGTGAGCACAGGAAGGCAGTCCACCACAACTCCAAGATCTTCTATCCTGTGGGTACAAAAAAGGTAGTACTGCTTAGAGAGCTGATTTCCTCATTAATATCTTCTCACTGATTTAAGAAATTTATTCATTCAACAACTAATCTGAGTGTTTCCTGATGAGCCAGGCCCTGGGGATCCAGCAGCGAACAAAGCGATAAAAGTGCATGCCTTACGGAGCTGTATACGGCCAGTACGTGAGTGTGGGAGGGGAGGCAGAGACAGAAAACAAGTAAAATACCTGGAGTATGCTGATGGTGCTAAGTACTATGCAGAAAAATACAGCAGGAAAGGGAGATAGGGAGTGGAGAAATATGTATTTTTCAAAGAGGTGGTTGCTTAACTCATAAGGAAACGTGAGCAGATTCCTGAATATGGAGGAAGGTAATGCTTAGAATTCCCACTCAATGGGGATTTTTAAAAAGATTAGTTTTCCTACACTGGTTTCTCTTAATTTCATGGATAAGAATCTCAGGCACACTGAAAGTGGAGCTAAAACAGATGGTTTTCTGTATTTTTGTCACTCCTGGACTGCTGATGAACACAATTTAAACCATATGATCTCTACTGAAGCTACACATGGGAAGCTTCAGTGATAAAACAAAGAGGAACTTCTAGATACCACATTGAGAATTCGTTTTATTGAACAACAAAGTATAAATGGTCGCATTTACCTCACCAAATAGGCTACAAGCTCACTTATACTTCTCTTCCTCCAGAAAGTTAAAGCTACGTTCAACCTCAAATTCCTGCTGAACAAAACCTGTGCCATTGTTTCATGGTCCTGAGAAACCTGAAAGGCAATAATATAATTTGTTACAAAGCTCACTGGGACATAGTAGGAAATCATTTTTCCCCAAGTTAATTACTCCTATAGACATATTTGTAAATTATGCATAGGTGGCTCCTTGTACTGTCTCACAAAAAGGAGTATTTCAATTGAATACAGTAATAAAAAAAAGTCTGAACAAATATAGGACCTATTTCTCTTTTAACCAACACTTTTCCTTGTTTGCTACCAATTGTTCTCTATTAAATCTCTCTATTAAATAATTTTAAAAATAAATTTTTAGCTGACTCACAAATCTAAGACTTTATAATGTGGATTAAAGGAAAAGTTAAACATACAGGTTAGTCATTATCAACTGAAAGGCAACAGAAGGGAACCCAAAAATCACAGTTCTACAATATGTTATGGAATCATTTAAATATATTCATTTTTATACACTATAGGGAAAATACTTCGTTTGAATAAAGATTAAATAACATGGAACTGTATAAAATAAAAAGTGAATACTTTCTACCTGTCCAGAAAAATATCCAATCCCATTTCCCAGAAGTAATTACAGGCTAGTATGTATCTCTGCAAATCAGCTTCTGGACAAAGACATACTATGTATATACATAAATTTACATATATAACTCTTAACAATGAAATTATACTTCTGTATTTTTAAAACCTTGCTTTTTAACTTATTATGAAAATTCTTCAATGTTAAAACACAGATCAACCTCATTACATATTATCCAGTCTTTATATACCATAATTTATTTAGATTGATTTTGTTTTTCCTTATTAAAACTATGCATCAATGAACATCTAATGTATGTACATGTGTGCACTTGTACAAATACTTCTGTAGGATTAATGTATAGAACTGGAACTGCTAGATCACAGGTTACATGAACTTGAACTTTGACAAAATAATACGGTATCACTTTTAGAACAGATTTAGGTTTTTAGAACAGGTTCTAGTCAATCAGGAAATGACAAAGGAATAATCAATAAGTGTGTCCGTTATGTGTAAGGTTAAGGCAGGCTTTGGAAAATGCCATAAAAGTGAGGGGGCAAAGTAAAAGGAGGGACCTGAGGAAATGTCTCATTGTGGCAGGGACTGAAATGCATAATTGAAACTTATTTTTTTTTTTAAAGGCATTAGCTCTCAGAAGGTTTATTTCAACTGGAGAACCAATCCAAGTCCCAACTTAGGTTAGTCCTATGCTCTTCTCCCTCAGAGTATGTAATTTCTGTGACTGTCTGTGTAGTGCTGGTCTCACCACTTTTATAAGTACATGAACGTCGGGATGGTGTGTTTTTCACTCACTGATCTATCTCCCCAGAGTCTGTAGGATGCATAACACAACAGGGGGCACTCAAAAGATACTTGTGAATTAATTAGTATGACAGTGATTCTCTTTATTAATACTAAAGTTCCGTCATCATCCTGTTTTCCACGGTCCATGGTAATTCACTTTTAAATAATATTTTCCTTGTTCCTGAACTCAAGTTATGGGTGATGCAAAGGTGCACCCAACAGTTTCCCTGAAACTAGAAAATATAAACCTGTTTGTGGGTTTGATGATCCCTGAAACAATATTGAGCAAAGGAAGATGGTGGAACGGTGGGCTGCTGTTTGTCTTTAAACACAGTTTCATTTATTAAATATTACGTTGTATTACTTTGACAAAAATAATTTAATTGAAAGTTGTGCATACCATTAAAAAAAAATTTTTTTTTTTCCCTGTTCCTTCTTCTCTCACGGATACCACTTCCTTCCTTCCAATTCTCCTAGCATTGCTAGCTTTCTATTACTCCAGGATCTTACGTATAAAAGTCAAGACTGTTTTCACTGACAAACAGAATCTATTTTGTATCATTTCATTATGGTTTTAGTTAATAATATTTTATTTTCTATCTTCCTTTCATTTACCTGTAATTACCCTAAATATGATGCTCTTCATTTACCTATACACACTTATGATTGTTTTAATTTACAAAGATTTTGTTTCTATTTGTAGGCCACAGAAAATGCTTGTCAATCTGTCATGCTGGACAGAAACAACACTAAGGTTACCAAATCATATTTTTAAAAATTAAGGTATACTCCTTCAATGTAATGCTATGTATCCATTAAAAAACTGTAGAATTATTCAATCACATGAAAAAATATTCATACTTTATTAACCATGAAAGTCAAATTATCAAAAAATATGTACAATATGAAAAGATACATAAAAATTTTAATATTGCTTCTAAATGTTGAGATTATGGATAGTTTATTTCCTTTGGGTTTATCTTCTAGTACATATACAATAAACAATAATAATTATAAACTTGTGTGTTTATAAGTTTTATCAAACCATCTTTTATAATGAGCATTTTTAAAAAGAGCTTTATTAAGGTATTATTTGCTTAACACAAAATTCACCCATTGAAAGTAGGTAAATTCAATGATTTTTAGTAAATTTATAGAATTTTGTAACCATGATCACAATACAGTTTTAGAATATTTGTATCATCCAAAGAAATTCCCTTGCTCCTATTCAAATGACCAAGTCTCCCTGAGCCAGGACAGAAAATCTTATTCAGTTTGCCTGACCAAAACATCTAACAGGCCATTTTGGGAGCCCGGCAGCAGGAGATGGCATGGTGGACTCCCCAGTCCACAGAGAGAGAAAGCTGAGTGCCTCTGGGCAGAGGCCAAGGGCCAGGGGGAGGCGTGTCTGCGAGCACAGCTGTGGAGAGGCTATCCTTATGGAAAAACAGTATCCTGAGTGTTCCTAAGCCTGAATTATAACTGTTACTTCCCTAAAAAAAACCGTAATTTTGAGTATGGTCTGTGAGGTCTGTGTGGCCACTGCAGTGAATTATTGAACCCAGCAGAGAAGTAGAGAAACGCTGTGCGAGGGAAAGTTGGGGTCAGAATTAGTAACGATGGCAGAGACAGAAGGCCTGTCTGGCCTCCACTTCATAGGAGTCAGCCTTGTGCTGCTGCTCTTGGTTCTCTGTCCCCCTTAGGGGGGTTGAGGAGGTCAGACACTGCCCCACGTCGTTTTTACTACACATTTCAAATCTGGTTGATCTAAAAACTGTTTCAGGGAGTTACAATCATTCAAATGAGTCTGTATTCAATGGATGGCAAATTATTCTGCTAGTAGCGTATGACAAAGAAAAACAAAAACAACAGCTGTAATAGCAATAAAGTTAAGCTCAGAAAAATTATTTACCTCAGAAAAAAAGCTACTATATTTTGATGATGGACTTTCTGTCTGTGAAGAACCAGAATCACTGGAGTTAATCAAATACGTTCGACTATCATGGTGTAATTTTTCAGGCAGGTGGCCTGCACAAGCCAGTTCATTTTCTTTATTTGCCATGACACAGCCCCCACTTCTAGGGGACTGTTTTTTTCTGTAACAAGGATGTGGAAAAGGACGCTGAACTTTCTTTCTGCAATAGATCACCTTACGTAGTTTATCTGGGGTCTTCACAGCTTGTCCAACTGTTCTGTAAGAAAAATTGATTTTCTTAAATGAAAAAGAATCACATGAAAACCTTTAAAAGTTTTTTAAACAGAGATATTTCACAGGCCACATTTTATGGTCATAATCCACTAAAATTAGAAGCTATTTAAATAGAATTAAAAACATTGTAACTCTGAGATGAAAGAGGAGCCCACAAGGAGAGTTACGAGCTGTCTGGAGAGCAAGGGAAGGACGATACTTTACATGAAATGAAAACGAGGAGGGCATAACACCTAGATGCTTTGAAAATAAAATATCCAAGGCCATCTGGAAGTAAGGGAAGTATAACCATTTCTAGTCACCTAAGCTTTTTCTAACAAAGTGATACATAAATTGTGCAAGTTTGAATGCTTTTATTTTGATAAACAGAAACATATTTAATTTTGAGTAAGACAAAACACAATATAGCAATCTCATGCTTTAGTACAGTGGTTCTTAAACTTTTGGTCTCAGGACCCTTTAACTATATATTCCAAAATGAGAAGAAAAAGAATTGAGAAAAATGGCACTGGTTTACGTTTTTGCAAATCTCTAGTATCTGGCTTAAGAGAAGACTGCATTATCTGCTTCTGCATTCACTCTATTGTGATAGCAAATGTTGTGTGAACTCTAGAAAGCTCTACTGTACACTTGTAAGAGAATGAAAATGAAGAAGGTGAATAATGTCTTAGTATCATTATGAAAACAGTTTTAACCTCACAAACTCCTTGAAAGGTCCTCAGGGACACCTGGGGTCCTACGACCACTTTAAGAAAGAATGCCATTTTTACCACTTTCCGGATGTATGTTGTATGCTCAGACCCATAGCGGCCTTCCGTGTAACCGAACCAAGTGCTGCTGGGTCCCGCACCATCTTCTTGATCACTGCTATGTGCGGGCCCACTGTTCTGGCTTATTGTGTCAATCAGCTGTCTCACTCAGGGTCTCACCTGTTTTCACTGACCTTCTCCTTCACCAACTATGACACCTTACGTATAAGAGACGGAGGTGTTGCCCAGTCCTCTGCCATCTCCACGACTGCTGGTATGCTTAGGCCCACTGTTTTGGCTATCGGGTCAATCCATCTCGTTCATTGTTTGCCGCGTTTTCACTGACTTTCTACTTTACCAACTATGATGTCCTTTTCTGGATGGATGACCCTGAGTGAATCACTTAACTCCTCTAGGCTTTAGTTTTCCCATCCACTGCTGGGGTAACGATAGCTACCTAGTAGAACTGTTTGAAGTAGGGATTAGAGATGATGTAAGTAATATGTTTAGCACAGTGCCTGGCACACAGAGTTGTACGATGATAAGGCAACCGCTGTTATGGTAAGAGAGAATAGTTCTTTTTCTCCTATTTTCACCCTTTCCCAGTTTTCAGTATTTTCTGTTTCCCACAAACTTTAAAGTTGTTCTTACCTATTAATGTAAGCAGCCAACTGTTTTGGAGATTTCTTAACCTGAGAAATCAAAGTAGACAGTTGTAGCATATTAAGTTCTTTAATGCAGTTATGTGAGCTCTGTGACTGACACCAACAAATCTAAAATTCAGCAGTTAAGCTTTGCAGATTACTAATGCCGCAGTCTCAATCATTAATTAGAACATTTCATGTAGGCGTCTCTAGCAAAGCAACATAGCCAACTCTCCACTTTCCATGCTACTAGTCACATATTGTACTTACAGGGTGCTTGCTTAATAAGTGAGGGGAATCTTAAGATGATTTAAAGGAAATTATATCAGTGTTAATGAGCCTTGCAATGCTGAACACAAAATACCTCGGAGATCCCTCTTTAATTATTAAAATATTCAAATTATAGCCTATCAAAATAGTATGCTGTGCAAAAAGCTTTAAGGATAGAAATGGTTTTCAACATTTCACTAATTCTACTTAATTCTTAAAGCAGAATTACTACCCTTCCACTGTGTAAATGATTTAATCAGAACTATCCATAGCCCTGACAGTTTAAATTGTCTTAACTGTTACCTGGCAACTATGAACTTACCTCCTTCATGTTCTTATTAGTGAAATTAGAGTTCCTTTTTCTAGGAAGATCAATCGCATGATCCTCAATATTATTACAAAAGTTCCGTTTTTTAACATTGTGAGTTTCAGATGCCATAATCTCTTGAATACCTAGACAACAAAATGAAAATAATAAACAGAAAATACAAAAAGCAACAGAGACTCAACATTTCTTTAACATATACAAACATACAGCATTGCCACTCTATGTAAAAGAGGCTTATGAGTGAACCAGAGGACACAGTTCTAACTTATGAATTTTGAAAAATCTTTAATACAGAAGAAACACAAAGCAGAGCATTCCAGGAAATAAGGCCCTTTCTGTTCTCTTTCTTCAGTCTCAACCAGTTATAAACACACTGTACTTTCTGCCAAAGTAACATGCTAATCTCCCCATTTTCCAGATCAACAGCCATATATTAAATTTATGAGTTATTATGAAATCTGGTCTATACAGTAGTGGTATCTACGACATTCAAATTTATAGAAGCTTCAAGTTTTGGAACCAAATCACTGGATTAAATAAAAACCCCAAGCAGTCAAAGGAACCAGAATCAGATTACATACACCTAACTTTTCCACGTGTAATCCTTCAATTTCTCTTTCATGCTGGCTGCTCGTTCTCTAAAGCCTTCCTCTGCCTTTGAAAAAAAAACAATCCTTAATCTTCTATTCTGCCAGTTATATCCAATGGGAAATTAGGTGCTATGTCTTCATTTTCATAACAAAGGAAATTAGTGATGTCCCCACTTCTACTCTGGTTTCACACAGGAAATTTATGTTAGGTCATGTTCTGAACATAAGTTGCTCACTTAAACATTCGTGGAGCAATCACTCCAGACCAAGCCCTGGAGTTAACGTAGATGACGGACAGACATTCTGCCTGTCCTAAAGAATCATTCAGGAAAATTTGTGAACATAAACATCTATCTGAGTCATAACTTCAGCCACTATAAATGAGCAGGTCTCTGAAGAGGAGCCCAAAGCAATTATGTTTTTTAAAAGCTCCGCAGGTATTTCTGACGCACATGCCTAGTAGAAAACCTGCCTCGGAGAATTCTCCGAAAATGTGCACACAGACACAACATTTTGCACATGACTTTAGGGCGTTCTAAGATTTCCTGAAACTAATCCATGGACAGCCTTTCTACCTATATCCCCCAGGCTGAAGAACCTCTAGGATGAGATAAAAATATATATATATATATAAGTAAATAATAATTGCAATAATGCAATAAGCATTCTGACGGGCACACAAATGAGTCAGCCAAGTTTCAGGAGCAGAGTCTTAAAGGACAAACAGCACACTGAAAAAACAGCACGTGCAGAACAGAAAGGCATGAAGCAACATGGTTTGGGAATTTCTTAAGCGGGTAACGTGTAGCTGGAGCTTAAGCTAAGGGCAGGCTGCAGTGGAGTGAGAAATGAGATATAGACAGGCAGAACGTACATCATAAAGGGTCTTGTCCACAATGTAAAAAAAAATTTTTTAAAGAAAGGGAGACTTTAGTTAAAGATGATGAATTGAACACATGTGATTACTTCTAGGGAACCCTCATTAAAATGACAGTAAAAGGTTTTTGAAGGCATAAAACCCATAAGGACAAAGAGAAGATGTGGTGATGGCAACATTTTGAAAATTGCAAAGCAGACAATACAGCTAAAAATTACATGAAGCAAAAACTGATAAACTGAAAGGAGAAATACACAAATCCACAATAATATGTGGGGACTTCAATATCCCCCCTCAACAAGTGATCGAACAATTAGAAAATCAACAAGGCTGTAACAGAACTCAACAACACATCAACCAATATGATCTAATGAACATTTATAGAACACTCCACCCAACAGCAGAATACACATTATTTTCAAGTGCCACAGAACATAAACCAACATCAGCTATATACCCTGGGGCTTAAAACAAATCTCAACAAATTTAAAAGAAATGAAATTATATCAAGCATGTTCCCCAAACAAAATGGAATCCAACTAGAAATCAGTAACAGAAAAATAACAGGAAAATCTCCAAGCATTTAGAAACTAACCAACATATTTCTAAATAATCCAGGAGTCAAAAAGGAAGTCTCACGGGAAAACAAAAAACAATACATTGAACTCAGCAAAAGGGAAAATACAATGTATCAAAATTTGTGGAACACACTTAAAGCAGAGCTGAGAAGAAAATTTATAGTACTAAAATGTGTACCTTAGAAATGAAGAAAAGTCTCCAATCAATTATCTAAGCTCCCACCTCAAGAATCTAGAAGAAGAGCAAAATAAACCCAAATCAAGTAGAATGAAGAAAATCATAAAGGTAAGAACAGAAATCAATGAAACTGAAAACAGAATAACAACAGAAAAACAATGAAACAAAGAGCTGGTTCTTTGAAAAGACTAACAAAAACCGATAAACCTCTAGCAAGATTAACAAAGAAAAAGAGAGAGAAGACACAAATTATCAATAATACGAATGAAAACGAGGTATCACTACAGACCTTGCAGACATCAAGGATAAGATGGAAACATGCTGGTGTAAACAGGCCATTGTTCCGATTCACCCCCACAAACACAAGAAATACAAGGAAATGGTGCTTGGCTTTGAGGGACTTTGAATCGGGGAGCAGAGGAAAGCAGGGGGGAACCGCAGACAGGCAATCAATGAATCAACAAGTCGCATGCCGTAGGAAAATCACTTCTCCCACTGTCCCTGCCACGCCTTCCAGCCACGTGGGCCATCGGCTGCTGTGAACTGGGGAAGTGGTCCCAGAAAAGGGGCCTGCTTCCCTAACCACCACAGCTCCTGCCTGTACAAAGAGACACGACCCCAAACTTCTGCTCTGAAATTAGCAAGGCAGACCTCGCCGGGGGTCCATTTGGAGTGTGCCAGCACCTCCCCCACCTGGACACTGTTGGCGGCAAGCCTACTGTTAACTGTTACAGAAGGCCCATGCAGTGGAGTCTGTTCTCATAGTCCACAATCTACCTGCTTTCCTGTGCACCTCATAGCTCAGGCCTCTGAAACCAACAGGATAGATCTCCCGGGGAGTCAGTTCAGGTCTGTTTGCTCCCCCTTTCAGTCAGTGCTGAGAACTACTGACTGTGGCTACTATGTGCTAGGAAGCAGGCATCTTTAGTGGAGGCTACACCCACAGCCAGCACGCTACAGGGGGAGCTGATAGCAATAAGGCAGACCTTCCCAGGGGTCCACCTGGAATCTGCCAACACCTCCCCGACCTGCATACTGTTGCCTGCAAGTCGGCTGTGAATTGCTACAAAAGGCCTGTGCAGTGGAGTCTGCTCCCACAGTCAACACTCTTACCTGTCTCCCCACACACCCTATAACTCTGGCCTCTGAAACCAACAGAATAAACTTCCCTGGGGGTCAATTAGGGTTAGCCTGCTCTTACTTCCAGACAGCACTGAGTACTGTCTGAGGCTGCTGTGTGCTAGGAACCAGGAATCTGGCGTGGAGGCTGCACTCACAGCCAGCAAACTCTGATAGTAACAAGGCAGGCCTCCATGGGATCTGACCAAAAGCATTACACCCCCTCCCCCACCTGGTAATTGCTGGTTACCAGGCTGTTGCAAACTGCTACAGAAGGCCCCTGCAGTGCAAGCTGCTGCCATAGTCAGCACTCTACCTGCTTCCCTGTGTATCCCATAGCTCAGGCCTCTGAAACCAAAAAGACAGATCTCCCTGGGAATCAGTTTGGGTCTTTCTGTTCCCTCTCACAGTCGGTGCTGAGGACTGCTGACTGAGGTTGTTGTGTGCTAGGAAGCAGGCATCTTGAGTGGAGGCTATATCCACAGCCAACATACTACAGGTGGGCTCTGACAGCAACAAGGCAGACCTCCAAGGGGGCCGCTCAGAGTGTGACAACCAGTAACTGCTGGCTGCTGGACCGGTACGAACTCCTACAGAAGATTCCCTAGAGTGGAGTCAGGAGGTGGGTCACCTAAGTGGAGACTGCTCCCCCAACCACCACAGGGCCACTGGGGCTCTGAAATCAACAAGACAGATCTCTTGGAAGTCCTTCTGGGGAGTGCCAGCCCTTCCTCCTCCTGAAACAGAGGAAAGTTTGCCTATGCCTCCCCTGAAGGTCAGCTCAAATATAAGCAGCCCCCACAAAGCAGGGAAGAAAGCCCTAGAGCAAAACTGAAGGGTGACATCTAACCCCAGAGGGGGCTTGCTGGGTGCAGGTTTTTGGACTAAAAATGTGGTTGCAGAAACAGAGAAGTGAAGGGAGTAATAACCAGCAAGGGAGGGCTGCACGCCTAGTGGACAGATTGATTTGTACGTGATATCTTGCCTGAGTGGCGGTGCCCACAGGTGGACAGACGGACCACAGCATGTTCACTGGTGTGTTTAGGAGAGACTGAAAGTTGAAAACTGAGACCTGGAACTTTTTTTTTTTTATTGTGCTTTAAATGAAAGTTTACAGTTCAAGTTAGTTTCTCATACAAAACTTTATACACACACTGCTAAGTGACCCTAGTTGCTCTCCCTATCCTGTGACAGCACACTCCTCCTTTCCACCCCAGATTTCCCGTGTCCATTCAACCAGCTCCTGACCCTCTCTGCCTTCTCATCTCGCCTCTGGACAGGAGCTGCCCCTTTAGACCCATGTATCTACTTGAGCTAAGCAGCACACTCTTTGTGAGTATCAATTTATGTCCCACAGTCCAGTCTAATCTTTGTCTGAAGAGTTGGCCTGGGGAATGGTTTTAGTTTTGGGCTAACAGACAGTCTGGGGGCCACGTCTTCCAGGGTCCCTCCAGTCTCAGTCAGACCATTAAGTCTGGTCTTTTTACTAGAATTTGAGTTCTCTACCCCACTTTTCTCCTGCTCCGTCAGGGACTCTCTGTTGTGTTCCCTGTCAGGACGGTCACTGGTGGTAGCTGGGCACCATCTAGTTCTTCTGGTCTCATGCTGATGCAGTCTCTGGTTTATGTGGCCCTTTTGTCTCTTGGGCTAATATTTTCCTTGTGTCATTGGTGTTCTTCATTCGCCTTTGCTCCAGGGGGGTTGGGACCAATTGATGCATCTTAGATGGCCACTCATGAGCTTTTAAGACCTCAGATGCCACTCACCAAAGCGGGATGCAGAA